CTGGACTTCTTCCAGCAGCCGATGGGCCTGGCCTGTGGGCACAACTTCTGCCGCGACTGCCTGGCCCGGCTGGGCGCTGAGGCTTCCTGTCCCCAGTGCAGAGCCAGGGTGGAGCCCGGCAGCGCCTGCCCCAACCGTGCCTTGGCCAACATCGTCAGCCTGGTGAAGAAGGGGCTTCGGCTGTCGAGGGGGGGAGCCCAGGAGGGGAGCAGCGGCCCCCAGCTGTGCCGGGAACACCAGCAGCCCCTGCAGACCTTCTGCTCCAGCGAGAAGCGCCTCCTCTGCGCCGGCTGCCTGGGGGGGCACAAGGGCCACCCCCTCCTCTCCCTGCCCGAGGCTGCCCAGGAGTACAAGGTAGGGGGCGGGCACTGTGGAGGCAGTCTTTCCAAAAGGGGGGAGCTGAACAGCCCCAACTAGATGGGGCACTCCATCACCCTAACCTAAACCCTACCTCTGAAAAATGGCGGAGGAGAGCCAGGCTACTTTTCGGCAGCGAGAGAGGAGACCGGAGACAGGCAGACTCTCAGCTGCTTCCCTCCTCGTGAGCCACTGCCTGCCCCGGGCCTCTCCCTGGCCAGATTCTCTGCTGGAAGCTCTGGGTGCCCTGGAGGGCCTCCCCCTGGAGTGTAGCACGGGGGTCCCTCTGGCCCCTTGCCAGCCTCCCTGGGTGGGAGCACTGCCATCGTGGACTCGGCAATTGCACCGTCTCCTCTCCGCACAGGACCTGCTGGATGCCCTCCTGGAACCCCTGAGGAAGGAGGAGAAGCAGCTGCTGGAGCAGAGGCAGGCAGAAGAGCAGAGCCGGCAGGAGTGCCAGGTGGGTCTCTCGGGGGGGGAGTGGGCACAGGAGGCAGCTCCAGGGATGCTGGTTCTGCAACTGGGAACTCTTCCCCCCTCCCTCTGAGTCCCCCGTCTTCTGCCCCCCCAGGAGCAATTAGCCACCGAGAAGCAGAAGGTCGGCCTGGCGCTGGAATCCCTGGTGGAGCTGCTCCGGGAGAGGCAGTCGATCTGGGTCGCCTGGCTGGCCGAGCAGGAGGAGAAGATGGAGGCCGAGTGGGTGGGCCCTCTGTCCCAGCTCAACGGGGAGGCTTCCCGCCTGCAGCAGCTGATTGCCCAGACAGACAGGAAGTGCCGCCAGACAGACAGGGAATTCCTGCAGGTGGGCGGGGCTCTCGCTGGCCTCAAGGGGGGGACACTGGCCAGACTTGCGAGGGCCGGGACCCATTTCTCTGCTCTCCTCTTTCAGGACATCCAGGGCACCGTGGACAGGTAAGGCGCCATCTTGCCCTTCCCCGCCCCTGTCCTTGTGGGTCAGTTTGTCCTCAGAATTCCTTATGCAGCTGGATCACTGAGGATCCCTTTGTCACCGAGAGATGCTAGTCTTGTGGTCCTGGGTGCTCTCTGGGCTCGACTGATTCCTTGCAGACGTTTGATTCCCCGACTGGGTAACATCGTCAGTGCCGGGAGGGAGTGGGGTTCGCTCTCTCTTTACGTGCTGGTAGGCTGCCCTTAGTTGGGGTGTTGTTTACGGCTTGTTTGCAGGTCCAGCGTTAAGCCGTAAACAACACAGATTAGGAACCATCAACACAGACAAACAATTCAATAGTAAACAACAGCCAGATCACGGAACCACCGAGAAGGTGGCAACCGTCCGAGCAACACTCGACAGGGGAAGCCGGTAGCACTGGCGGTTCTTGACTTACAGCCACAGTGGAGCCTAAAATTCTGCTGCTAAGTGAGACAGTTGAATCATCTCAGTTGATAAGTTAGTAACATGGTTGTTAAGTGAATCTGGCTTCCTCACTGACTTTGCTTGTCGGAAGGTCGTATGGAGGGGATCACGTGACCTTGGGACACTGCTGTAAAGATGCGTCGGTTGCCAAGCGTCTGAATTTTGATCATGTGACCACGGGGGATGCTGCAACAGTCGTAGCTGGGAAAACAGACATAGGTCACATGTGTTGTGGGTAGAGCGCCAGGTAGCTGTATGAGGGCGTCCTCCTTGTGTCGCAGGTGCCGGAGTTACGTGGTGGGGCGCGTAGAGAGAGTCTCCCCTGGGCTGAAAGACAGACTCAAGACCATCTTGGAGAAAAACACTCCTGTAAGGCAGGTTGTGGACAATTACAAAGGTGCGAGGCTTTTATGAGGTGTGGCTGGGGGGTCTGGGCCCCCCTTCTCCCCTTCCTACTGGGGAATCTTGTGGGAACCAATCCCCATCCAGCTCATGCTGGTGGGTGAAGGGGGGACTGCCGCCTCCACTCCATCTGTCACCCTCCCTGAACCATGGTACTTGGGGGAGAGGGTGTCACTTGTGCACCTGGCAGGGACCAAGACGTTCGCTTCTGCACGGCCGTCGCTCACGGGCGGCTGCTCCTCACCTCGCTCTCATTTTTTCCTTTCCTCCTCCGAATCTCAGCATCCCTGGAGACGACTCTGACCAGGAAGAAGCTGGAGCGACCTCTGGCCACGGCTTCCAAACCGCGAGCCTTTAATGTCACCAAATCGCCAGGACTGGCGCCTACCGGGAGTGTCTTTTCCTTCACAATGGAAGGCCCAAGGGATGCCTGGAGTCTGGGCAGTCCCAGCATCATGGGTACGGGGGCAGGGGTCTGTCAGCTGCCACACAGAGCCGGCCATTCCCCGCCACACCTTGGCCCTTCCAGAAAAGAGCCACGCTTGAGGGCGCTGGGCAGGGCAACTGGGCAGGTCTTTCAGGGCATGGAAGGTCCCAATGGGGGGGGAGGATGATGGCTCAGTTTTTAGTTGTGCCCTGTAGGAAGTGGGGGAGGGGGCTTCTTCAGAAAGAGTAGCCTGATTTTAACAGTTGTCCCCCTTTCTTCCCCAGCACCTGTTCCACAATATGTACAGGATCCAGCAGCGCCTAAAGGTAACAACACACTGGAAAAGCCTTGGGGTGGGAGTGGGGGTGGCTTTCCATAGAGGGTGGGGTCCAGCAGAAGTGGGAGGTCTGCGGGCCCCAAAACAGCCACCCAAATGTGGGCCTGGGGCAACGGCAGGGAGGTCCCTGATGGCAGGCCTGCCCCATCGCTCTGGAAGAGCGCTAAACCCACAACCAGCAATAGTGGTAACTCGGGAGAAGCAGGAATGGTGGGAGTCCTCAACTTACGACCACAACTGAGCCCAGCATTTCAGTTGCTGAGTGAAGCACTTGTTAAGTTAAGCAGCGGCCACTCGCTCCGTCCTTCCCTGAGCTGGGGAAACCTCGGGGAGTCGGCCTTGCCCTCCCCTGTTCCCAGCCCACCTAAGAGCTTCTCTTCTCCCTCCGCTTCAGTCTACGTCACGCTGGACAGCTCGACCGCCCACCCGCGGCTCTGGTGCCGGAGAACCACTCTGACTTTGTCCGACCGAAACCAGGATCTCCCGGATCTGCCAGGGAGGTTTGACCAGGAATTGTGCGCCCTGGGCTGCGGGGGATTCAACGCGTGGTGGTACTGTTGGGAAGTGTCCGTGCAGGAGGCAGGCAACGCCCCAGTGTGCGGCAGAGCATGCTGGGCCGTTGGGGTGGCCATAGAGTCTGTACGCAGGAAGGGGAGCTTCCAGCTGAGCCCCCAGGAGGGAATCTGGGCCGTGGGGAAGAGTGTGGAGGGGCAGACGGTCGCTTTCTCCAAGGTTCACGAGAAGCTCAGCTTGCAAAGGCCGCTGTGGAAGCTGCGGGTGCGGCTGAACTACGAGGCAGAAAAGGTGGAGTTCCTGGATGGGCAGACTGGGGCTTCCCTCTACACCTTCCGGACGGGGCCCTTCCTTGGGGAGAGGGCCTACCCTTTTTTCTACCTGGGCCAGCATGGGGTCACCCTTCAGTGTGAGGAATATCCACATTCATCTACGTGGGGCGGCTTCGGATTAAAATAGAATAGCATTAGAACAGAGCAGGATGGGACCTCGGGGGTCTTCTAGTCTAGCCCCCCCCCCGCTCAAGCAGGAGAACCTATATACCATCTCAACTTACAACAGTTCATTCAGTAATCAGACTTACCACAGCACTGAAAGAAACGACTCGTGACTATTTTGCATACTTGGGACCACGGTCAAGGCGATCGAAATTCAGACCCTTGGCAACTGACTCACGTTTTTGATGGTTGTGCCGTCCTGGAATCACGTGGTCCCCTTTTGCGACCCCTCTGACGATCAAGTTCACTGGGGAAACTGGGTTCCCTCAACAACTGTGTGACCAATTTAAGAACTGCAGCGATTCTCTTAAAAAAGTGTGGTGAGAAAAGTCGTCAGACGGGGCAAAACAAATTTCTCACTTAGGAACATCAATTTTGGGCTCCGTTGTAAGTTGGGGACTACCTGTAGATGGCTGGAGGGAAGCCATCCAGGGCAGGGGGGCGACATTAGCCACCTCCCCGATTCCTGGTCGTGGGTCCTTTTTCCCGTCCATGTGTGTGTGTGTGGAGTTGAAGCACAAGAGGTGGGGGCTGCAGAGGAAGCCACTGTGCTCAGCCCACCTCCTGGTGCCTTCAAGACCACATCTGGCAAGAGGAGCAGATGTTGTCCACTGTCTTCCGGGGTGTCCTTCCAACTCCCCTGTCTAGTCTGCCAGGGTTTCTTGGTGGTCTCCCCTCCCCGTCCATGTCCAACCTTCTATATAACATCACCATGATCGGCCCAGGCTGCTTGGGGGGCTGCCAAGCGGTTCTGGGCTGCCAATGACCTGGGGGGCTTCGACTGGCCGTGGCCTCTGGGCCAGAAAAGGCCTGCTGGTGATTGCATGGTGGCAGTCCAGCTGGGGCATTCGGGTGTCCACGCGTCTTCCGAGTGCCACGGAAATCCCTGCCTCCGTGTGGCTTGCGGTGTAGATGAGAGAGAGATGCTTAAAGGACCTTTATAATAAATAAAGGCGACATCTTAATATCTGCATGTTACTCTATGTTTATGTGATTCTAAATTTTACTCCAATGTTACTCCAAGTTTCCTATTAAAAAAAGCAACATGTTTATCTTTTATTTGTGCCATTTCTCTACACCTTGGTCCTCAGGGAGGTCGGGCTCCTTACGTACAACTTGGATACGTTTTTAAGGCGACCTTTGAAAGCTTCCACGACAAAATTATAAGTTAGCAGGAAATAATTTTAAAAGGTGGGCTCGACCCTCCCCCCAAAGGCCCTCTGGGAAAGTCGTATTTTTGGCAGCCCTTGAAGTGGGGCCAATGGGGGGGAGTCCAGGGTGGGGTGAGCCCCACAGAGACCTTCAGCTGCCCCTAAGGGGAGGGGAAGGGGAAAGTGGGAAGGGGATCCCTGAAGACATCCTGGCCACGGAGGGCTTTAAAAGGAGCCCACAGACCCACAAATTGCACTCGGAAGCACACACACAATCCCAGAGGGGGTCCTGGCTGGAAAAGCCCAGTCTGGAAGCCTCTCTCTGCAAAATAGGGAGTGATGTCCCGAATCCCGGGAGGCAAAGGGCCTCGGATACAGTCTTCCCATTCGGTCTGCTACGGAAGGCAGTCAAGAGGGGGGAGGACGTGGAGGGGAGGTCAGGACCATCCCTGCCCTTGGCTGAGGGAGGTTGGGCCATGGGGGGGAGGGCTGTCCTGGAGGGGGGGCTGTTCCCTCTGGTCCAAGGTCTGTTCCTTCTCTGGAGCCTCCAGGATGATGTGTGGAACAGGCTCTGGCTGGTTTCAGCCTGATGGCAGCCTGTTGGGTCAACTCCCCAGAGACTTCCCCCCAAATCTGCCTCGGTGGCCTGGAATCTGAGGCTTCGACCCCCCCTGCTCAGGCAGGAGAGCCCCTCAACCATTCCAGACAGATGCTTCCCCCCTTGAGGGGGAAGACCACGCTTGGGCAGGCAGTGGGGTCCTCCCAGATGCCAACACGGGGCAGATCCTACCTAGAGGAGGCCGTCGCAGGACCCCCCACCACCACTCCCCGGGCCCTGGCTGTGGCCTCTGTGGGGGAGGGGCCACTCGGATCCCGCAAACAGCCCTGAACGGTTGCAGGACTCCGGCCGGCCAGCCTGCCTCTCTTGTCCAGCAGAAAAAGCCCAGCAGGCGGCTAAGGACTCTGGACATTTTACGGCAATAAAACAGTTTAAGAGTTTAAAGGTCCCCAGCATAGAAGGCACTGTGCTGGACTGGTTATGTAATCACCAGGCCAGAGCATGTATTAAGGGCGGTATATAAATTAAATTATAATAATAATAATAATAATAATAATAACTATGAGAACTGTATGTTAGAATGTTTGGCATCTAAAGGGTTAAGCGCTGACTCCTTAAGAGATGGCTTATGGGTAATGTAGTTTTAGCTGTTCAGTGAATCCTATGTTTAACAAGTCAGTGGGAGGGGCCACTAAGTTCAGCACAGGATATCCTGGCTACGTGCCAGCTTGTGTAGGAATGCTTTTGTCTGAAATCAGCATGGGGATGCATGAGGAGAGACACCGTCTACAACAGTGGTTCTCAACCTTTTTAATACTGCGACCCCAACCGGTCGTAAGTCGAGGACTAAACCGGTCGTAAGTCGAGGACTACCCAACCGGTCGTAAGTCGAGGACTTTCCCTGCCCGGGAGCGCTGCACATGCGTGGTTCTGCCCCCTGTGCCGGCCGAGGCGTAGCTGGCAAGCGGCAGAGACGGAGCAGGCCGACCACCAGTTGGCCCAGCCCAAGGGAGGTAAGGCACCCGCCGGAAAAGGGGAAAAAAATGGCGGACAAAAAAAATGGCGGACAGCCTTGCTTGGCGACCCCCGTGAAATGGTCAATCGACCCCAAATGGGATCCCGACCCACAGGTTGAGAACCACTGGTCTACAACCACGCTAGAGCTGATATGGAAGAATTATTGTTTTTACCTACATAAATGGGCAAATGTACAGCATCTGGATGCCTCTTCAGAACTGTAAGTTCTGTTAAGAATTCCCGGATTAAATATTTGTTTAAAACCATTTCGTTGAGTTAACTGCCTGGACTTGAGCTACAAAGCATCTTAATTCAGGTTCTGGAACAGGCACCTAATTCGCACACAGAGCCCCCTTGGCCCCAAAGGCTCAAGGCCGGAAGGGATGATGGCGCCAATATGGGGGAGGCCCCTCTGGATGCCCAGAGCCCCTCCCCTGAGGATGAGTGGTTCCTGCCCCCCCAGAGGCCTTAGGGTGGGGTGAAGTGGGGAGGCAGCCCCGAAGGTGCCCGGCCGAGAAGGACAGACCAGTTAAAACCAGCGCTTGCCTGGTACCTGGGACGCTGGGGGGCCCCTCGGGTCTCCTCCAGGTCCTGGTCCCCTTTGGGGTTCAAATTGGAACCGACACAAATAGATTCACTAATTTTTATCCTGCCTTTCTTATTATAAATAACTCAAAGCGCCCAACGCTCCTTTCTCCTCTTATGTTCCCACAACGACCTTGTGAGGTGGGTTGGGCTGAGAGAGAGAGAGGGAGGGAGGGAGACAGAGACTGTCTCAAAGTCACCCAGCCAGCTCTCCAGCTCTCGGTCCCCTTTTGGGTTCAAATTGGAACCGACACAAACCGATTTACTAATTTTTATCCTGCCTTTCTTATTATTACTAAGTCAAGGCGGTGAACATCCCCAACAGTCCTTTCCCCTCTTATTTTCCCCACAACGACCCTGTGAGGTGGGTTGGGCTGAGAGAGAGAGGGAGGGAGGGAGGGAGATGGAGAGAGAGAGAGAGAGACTGTCTCAAAGTCACCCAGCCAGCTTTATTTTGCCTAAGGCGGGACTATAACTCTCCGTCTCCCAGTTTCAAGTCTGGCGCCTTCATTGATAGACCAAACTAGCTCTGAGGGGGGAAAATACACCAGTTCACCTTTAAATAAATACTATTAAAAGTCATATTCTTCAGCTGCAAAGATGTGAGATTTCTCCTGACTTTTGGCTCAAGGATCACAAATCAGGAGGGGGGTCTACAGCCTCTTGGGGGGGGGGTCCTTGGGGCTCCCTGACCTGGATGGGGTTTTTTTTGCAGACATTTTATTACCCAACTAGGCAACCTCATCAGTGCACCGTGGACCCTGCAGTTCAACACTCAGCTGCAAATATTCCCTCCTGTCGGAATCTCCGGAGTGTTTTTCCTTACAAGACGTGACACAAATAAAGAGGGATAAAATTCTAGACCAGCGCTTGCAGGGAGAGGGTGTCCGGGGGGCTCACACTGGCTCTCCAGGGGCCCCCAGGCTCCTCCAGGCTCCCCAGTTGCTTCACTGACCACCCAGGAACAGACCCCTCTTGGGGCGTCTGCAGGGGCCATGGGGGTGGGGGTCAGCTGGCCCCCCAGGCAGAGCGGCTGCCCCGGACAGACTCGCTTCCTTTGGCTCCCCCTCCGAGGCGCTTCCCAGCCAGGTCGAGCCTCCCTTTTAAAATTATTTGCTGCTTTCAAAGGTCGCCTTAAAAGCGAATTGAAGTTGTACGTAAAGAGCCCAGCGTCTGTGAGGACCAAGGGGTAGAGAAATGGCCCAAATAAAAGATAAACATGTTGCTTTTTTAATAGGAAACTTGGAGTAACATTGGAGTAAAATTTAGAATCGCATAAATGTAGAGTAACATACAGATATTAAGATGTCGCTTTTATTGATTACAAAGGTCCTTTGACCATCTCTCTCTCAGCTACACTGCAGGCCACACGGAGGCAGGGATTCTCATCCGTGGCACCCGGAAGACGCATGGACACCCGAATTTTCTGGCCCAGAGGCCACGGCCAGTTGAAGCCCCCCAAGCCATCGACAGCCCAGAACCGCTTGGTAGCCCCCAAGCAGCCTGGACTAATCACGGCAACTAGAAGACCTCTGAGGTCCCTTCCTGTTTTGTTCTAATTCTATTCTATTTTCTATTCTATTATAATCCGTAGGCGTCCCACGCAAATGAACTTGGATGTCCCTCACACTGAAAGGCAGACCCACTGCTGGCCCAGATAGAAAAAAGGCCGGACCCTCTCCCCAAGGAAGGGCCCCGTCTGGAAGGTGTAGAGGGAAGCCTCAGTCTCCGCATCCAGGAACTCCACCTTTTCTGCCTCGTAGTCCAGCCGCACCCGCAGCGTGCTCAGCGGCCATCGCATGCACAACTTCTGTTGAACCTTGGAGAAAGCGACCATCTCCCCCTTCACACTCTTCCCCACAGCCCAGATTCCCTCCCGGGGGCTCAGCTGGAGGCTCCCCTTCCTGCGGACAGACTCCTTGGCCACACCCATGGCCCAGCATGCTCTGCCCAACACTAGAGTGTTGTCTGACTCCTGCAACGACACTTCCCAAAAGTGGCAGCCCGCAGTGAATTCCTCGCAGCCCAGCGCACAAAATTCCTGGTCGAACCTCCCTGGCAGATCCAGGAGATTCTGGTATTGGGTGGCCCACATCAGACAGGAGTTTGAGCATTGGAGCTGCGGGTGGGCGGTCGAGCTGTCGATCTTGACGTAAACTGAAGAGAAGGGGGAAGAGAAGCTCTTAGGCGGGCTGGGAACAGGGGAGGGCAAGGCAGGGCAGGGCTGGCTCCCCGATGAGGGTTCCCCAGCTCTGGAGCCCCCCGAGATGCAGTGCCTGGGGAGCTTCCCAAAAGGACCAATTCCCAAATATGGCAGGTAAGTGGGGCTGCCTCTGGAGAGCGGGGAGGGCCCTGGGCAGGTGGTGGGTCACTGGGATGACAGGACCAGGCAGGCAAGGGGGTCCAACTGAGGGAAGGCGCTGCGCTTACTATTGCCTAGGAGGGCCCCTGGAGATAGCAGAGATAGTCCTCAACTTACGACAATTCCCTCAGTGACGGTTCAAAGTTACAACGGCACTGAAAAAGTTACTCATGACCGTTTTTCACACATACGACCGTTGAAGCGATCCCCATGGTCACGTGATCAAAATCTGGACGCTTGGCAACTGCCACTGTATTTCTCACGGGATCCCTTGGGCGACCTTTGTGTCCCCTTTTGCAATGTCGGTGGGGAAGCCAGAGTCACCTAACGACCGTGTTGGTAACAACTGCAGTGACTCAACAACTGTGCCAAGAACGGTCGTAAAACGGGGCAAAACTCACTTAACTGCCTCACTCGGCAGTGGAAACTCTGGGGTTAGTTGTGGGGGTAAGTTGAGGACTCCCTGTGTTCCTGCTTCTCCTGCGCTGCCACTCTTGTCGGTCCAGGGTTTAGCGCTCCTCCCGGAGAGCCCCAGAGCTGAGCTATGCAGCAGCTCTGCCATCTGGGACCTTCCTGGGGCAGCTTGTAAGCTGGCCAGATCCTCCCCCTCCCCAAATAGCCATCTGCTCTTGCCCCAGGCCCACCCACTGCACTTGGGCGGCTGCTTTGGGGTCCTCCCGTTTATAGGCAGCGCTATGCTCGCCTGCTGACCTGGTCAGGTGCCTGGAGGGCTGAGGGTTCGGGTTAGGGCAAGGGATGCCAAACGTCTGCCCCAGAGCACTGCAGATGGACCCCACCCACCCCTACGAAAAGGACCCCCTTCCTCAGTGTGCTGTTACCTTTAGGTGACCTTGGCTTTTGCGGAGCAGGTGCTGAGGAGGAAAGGGGAATCAGTTTAAAATCAGGCTGAGGTGTGTGTGTGTGTGTCTGAAGAAGCTCCTCCCGCACTTCTCACAAAGCACAACTCAAAACCCAGCCCCTCATTGGATTCTTCCAGGCCCTGAAAGACCTGCCCAGCGCCCTCCACTGTGGCTCCTTTCTGGAACGGCCAAGGCGTGGCAGGGAAGGGCCGGCTCCGTGTGGCTGCTGAGGGACCCCCTGCCCCCCCTCCCCCAGTGGCTGATTTGGGGACCTTCCAGACTCTCGGCATCCCTCGGGGTTTCCCACCCCTGGAGAAAGCCACTCCCAGCAGGCGTCACTCCTGGCGATTTACGGAAAACATTGTGTGGCGCCTGGCAAGGGCAGCAGGTTTGCAAGCCTTCACCCCCCCACTGCCCCCTTCCTCCCCAGCCCCATGAGGTTACCTGTGGCCAGAAGTTGCTCCAGGTTCTCCCTGGTCAGTGTCTTCTGCAGAGAGGCTGAGATTCAGAGGAGAAAGAAAAAGAGACTAGAAACAGCCAGCCGTACGTGATGCCCACGCAGAAGCTACCATGTTGTTTGGAGCAGCGTTTCGGTCCCTGCCAGGCGCCCAGTGACACCCCCAAAGTATCATGGTTCAGGGGGAGATGACAGATGGGGTGGAGGAGGCTCCTCCTGAGAAGGCTCCAGACCCCCCCTAGCCCCACCTCAAAGGGGCCACCCGCACCTTTGTAACTGTCCAGCATCTGCCTTACGGAAGCGTTTTTCTCCAGGACGGTCCTGCCTTGCAACCTGGGGGAGACTCTCTCTAAGCGCCCCACCACGTAACTCCGGCACCTGCAACACAAGGAGGGCATCCTCATACAGCTACCCGGCTCTCTCCCCACAACATGGGGGGCTGATGGAGGGTTAGTATTGGCCGGTTCTGTGGTGTGTGTGTAAGAAGCCGGCCCATTCCAGCATCTTGCCACATAAATATAGGGTGTGGTACAAATCCTGGCTTCTTTGTTATGCAAGCATGTACATTGCTTTGATCGCAACCGACTCTGTGCACTGAACCAGGGTAGAGTTCAGTAAAGGAGTCAGGAAAGACACAAACTCAACACAAATGTCAAATGTGATTCTGATCCTACTACACCAAGGATGAAGGTGTCCCACGCAAGGAAACCCGGTTTCCTGCAACAACTGAGCTTACACCGCTTCCCTCAGCCCAAACCGGACGCTCTGCCCAGGAACCGGCCCGAAGGGCTGTGGAGGAAGTCGAGGTCAAAGAGAATGTCTGCAGCTGAGGGTCCTCGTCTCGTGCAGACATTTCATTACCCAAGTGAGTAACGTCACCAGTGCTACAGGCGAGTGGGGTTCGCTCTCATTTAATGCCCACGTAGTCCTTGACTTACAACTCTTCATTTATGACCATTGAAAGTTACAACGGCACCGATCAAATGTGACCTATGATTATTTTTGCAGCTACGACTGTTGCAGCATCCCCCCGTGGTCACATGATCAAAATTCAGACGCTTGGCAAGCGACGCATGTTTACGGCGGTCAGTGTCCCAAGGTCACGTGATCCCCTTTGTACGACTTTCCGACAAGCAAAGTCAATGGGGAAGCCAGATTCACTTAACAACCATGTTATTAACGTATCAACTGAGGGGATTCAACTGTCTCTCTTAGCAGCAGAATTTTAGGCTCCACTATGGCTGTAAGTCAAGGACCGCCAGTGCTACCGGCTTCCCCTGTCGAGTGTTGCTGGGACGGTTGTCACCTTCTCGGTGGTTCCGTGATCAGGCTGTTGTTTACTGTTGGATTGTTTGTCTGTGTTGGTGGTTCCTAATCTGTGTCGTTTACGGCTTAATGCTGGACCTGCAAACAAGCCGTAAACAGCAGCCCAACTAAGGGCAGCCTACCTGCACGTAAAGGGAGAGCGAACCCCACAACCTCCCGGCACAGACGACGTTACCCAATCGGCAAGGAATCGGTCGAGCCCAGAGAGCACCCAGGACATGACTAGCATCTCTCGGTGACAAAGGGATCCTCGGTGATCCAGCCGCGCAAGGAATTCTGAGGACAAACTGACCCACAAGGACAGGGGCGGGGAAGGGCAAGATGGCGCCTTACCTGTCCACGGCGCCCTGGATGTCCTGAAAGAGGAGAGCAGAGAAATGGGTCCCAGCCCTCACAAGGGTGGCCAGTGTCCCCCCGGGGGAACCTCTGTTTCTCCCCCCATTGAGGCCAGTGAGAGCCCCACCCACCTGCAGGAATTCCCCGTCCGGCTGGCAGCACTTTCTGTCTGTCTGGGCAATAAGCTGCTGCAGGCGGGAGGCCTCCCCGGAGAGCCGGGACAGAGGGCCCACCCACTCGGCCATCATCTTCTTCTCCTCCTCGGCCAGCCAGGTGACCCAGACCGACTGCCTCTTCTTGAGCAGCTGCTGCACGGATCCCAGCGCTAGGCCAACCTTCTGCTTCTCGGTGGCAAATTCCTCCTGGGAAGGGCAGAAGACGGAGGACTCAGAGGGAGGGGGGAGAGTCCCTAGCTGCAGAACCAGCATCCCTGGAGCTGCCTCCTGTGCCCCCCTCCCCCCCTAGAGACCCACCTGGCACTCCTGCCGGCTCTGCTCTTCCGCCCGCCTCTGCTCCAGCAGCTGCTTCTCCTCCTTCCTCAGGGGCTCCAGGAGGGCAGCCAGCAAGCTCTACATGGGGAGGAGACGATGCCATTCCGAAGTCCCAGATGACAGTGCTCCCACCCAGGGAGGCTGGCAAGGGGCCAGAGGGACTCCCATGCTACCCTCCAGGGCACCCAGAGCTTCCAGCAGAGAATCCAGCCAGGGAGAGGCCCAGGGCAGGCAGAGACTCATGAGGAGGGAAGCAGCTGAGAGTCTGCCTGTCTCCGGTCTCCTCTCTCGCTGCCAAAAAATAGTCTGGCTCTCCTCCACCATTTTCAAGCGGTAGTCTTTGGGGGCCTTTAACTGTTCCCACGATCATCTTTCCATCATTCTGGGGACCCCCCTGAACCCCCCATAAGGTGATGGAGTGCCCCATCTAGTTGGGGCTTCTCAGCTCCCCCTTTTGGAAAGACTGCCTCCACAGTGCCCGCCCCCTACCTTGTATTCTCGGGCAGCCTCGGGCAGGGAGAGGAGGGGGTGGCCCTGGTGCCCCCCCAGGCAGCCGGCGCAGAGGAGGCGCTTCTCCCTGGAGCAGAAGATCTGCAGGGGCTGCTGGTGTTCCTGGCACAGCTGGGGGTCGCTGCTCCCCTCCTGGGCTCCCCCCCTCGACAGCCGAAGCCCCTTCACCAGGCCCACGATGTTGGCCAGGGCCCAGTTGGGGGAGGCGCTGCCGGGCTCCACCCTGGCTCTGCACTGGGGGCAGGAAGCCTCAGCGCCCAGCCGGGCCAGGCAGTCGCGGCAGAAGTTGTGCCCGCAGGCCAGGACCATCGGGTGCTGGAAGAAGTCCAGGCAGAGCGGGCAGGTGACCTCCTGGCCCAGTTGCTCCAAGGCCTTCTCCTCCCCTGAGGCCTCCGTGGGGCTCTTCGGCTCCATTTCCCTCTCGCTGGGCCTGGAAGGAGGAGAAGCTGGTCTGTTGGCTCCTTCTGGGCGGGCAACCGGGAGCTCTTGGGGGGGAGGATTTCTCAGTCCCTCCCCTCCTGTAGGGAAAGTGCTCTGAGTCCCTCCTCCAATTCAAGCCCAAGGGCATTAACCCCCCCCACACACATACATTCCTGTCTTGGGGGAGGTGAAGCAAGAAGCAACCAGAACTGGCCAAGCAGGGGGGCTTCCCCAAACGGGGGGGGGGGAGGAGGAGGTTGCCCAGCGTCCAGAGAAGAGAACAAGGGGAGCCTCCTCGGGGTCTGGCAATGGCTTCTTTGGACCCCCATCCCCTGTTCTGTTCCCTCAGCCTCAGCCCAGGGGTCTCTCTTGGAGGATGAGGAAGCCTTCAGCCCCATAGACTCCCCCCCTCCGTTGCGCTCCTTCCCTGCCAGTTCCCCAAGACCGAGGCCTCCCCCCCAAACAAACTGGGCAAGAGCAAGAGAAAAACCCGGTTCTCCCCCCACACTTTGAGGGTGCCCCCCACCTTCCCGCCTGGGACGCCCTTCAGTGGGAATCGGGGCGTCGTTTCTTAAGGGGGGGAGGAGAAATTGGAGCTCACCGTCCCTGCGAAGCTGCTTCGGCCCTTCAGGAGGCACCACGGCCGCCCCCTCGAAGGGACTCCGGTGGGTGGGGCAAAGGGCGGGGAGGAGGGGCGCCGCTTTTGGGCCTGGGGGGCACTTTCGCCTCTTCCTCCTCCGCAGAGCAGCCGCCTTTCCCGCCGCCTGGGAAGCTAAGTGCGGGGTCGGCGGCGCCTGCGCAGAAGCAACAAGGGAGACGCCCGAGCTTTCGGTTTCGTTTCCCAGCTGGGAGGCCGGGCCGGAGGAGACGGTCCTGCCCCACTTAGGGGTGGGAGGCCATTTCCCCCGCGTGGAGCGCTGAGCCCCCCATCCCGCCCGGCTGTTGTTCCCCAGGGGCCCCTCGCGGGCCTTTCCACGGCACGGGGGGGCTGGGGGGAGCCGGCCACGCTCGATGCTTCCGCAAAGAAGAACCCCTCGCCCACCCACGGGTGGGGTTTGCCCTCTCCTCCTCCCGGAATAAGACCCTCGTGGGTGGAGGTGCCCGCGATCCGCTTGGTGGCCCCCCAGGCTCCTGGAGGGGTCAAAAAAGTCAAGAGGGCGGCCAGCCCAAACTCCTGGGGGAGCGAATGAAGCTTCACGGGGCGCTTCTCTCGCGTGGGCGGGGGGGTCCCTTCAGGGCAAGGGGCGCGGAGGAGGAGCCTCCCTCCCAGGAGTGGGGGGGGGACCCCTTCCCCCGCGCGACGGGCCCCCGGCGAGTCCCCTCTGAAACCGCTTCTGAACCGACCCAAGTCGGACTACCGTCGGACAACCCAGTTGAGGGGTCTCTGAGGGGGGGGGTAGACGGAGGCACCGGACCTTAGGCTCCGAAGCTGGGGGGGGGGCGAGTCCGTCCTCTGGGGGAGTTGGTAAGGTCTCTCTACGATGTCCACCCTTGGGGGGAAGACCACCCTTGGGCAGGCAGTGGGGTCCTTCCAGATGCCAACACGGGGCAGGTCCCGCCTGGAGGAGGCTGTCCCAGGACCCCCCACCACCACCCCTCCCCGGACCCTGGCTGTGGCCTCTGTGGGGGAGGGGCCACTCAGATCTTACAAAAGGCCCTGAGCGGCCGCAGGACTCTGGCCGGCCAGCCTGCCTCTCTTGTCCAGCAGAAAAAGCCCAGGAGGTAGACGAGGACTCCGGACACTTTACGGTAATAAAACAGTTTAAAGGTCCCCAGCATAGAAGGCACCTAATTCGCACACAGAGCCCCCTTGACCCAAAGGCTGAAAGCCAGAAGGGAGGATGGCTCCAATATGGGGGAGGCCTCTCTGGATGCCCAGAGCCCCCCCCCCGGGGAAAGAGCCCCTCCCCTGAGAATGAGTGGTTCCTTCCCCCCCCCCGCAGAGTGGCCTTGGGGGTGTGTGAAGTGGGGAGGCAGCCCCCAAAATGCCGGACCAGTTAAAACCAGTGCTCCCCTGGCGCCTGGGAAGCTGGGGGCCCCCCTCGGCTCTCGGTCCCCTTTTGGGTTCAAATTGGAACCGACACAAACCGATTTACTAATTTTTAATCCTGCCTTTCTTATTATTACTAAGTCAAGGCGGTGAACATCCCCAACAGTCCTTTCCCCTCTTATTTTCCCCACAACGACCCTGTGAGGTGGGTTGGGGGGGGAGAGGGAGAGAGAGCTGCAAAGATGTGAGATTTCTCCTGAATGGGGCTCTGCGGGGTCTTCGCCAAAGTCTCCCCGGAGCGGCCCCCCTTCCCCATCCCCCACCCCACTCCTGCGAGGGAGGCCCCTCCTCCGCGCCCCTCGCCCTGACGGGACCCCCCGCCCACGCGAGAGAGGCGCCCCCTGAAGCTTCATTCCCCCCCCCAGCAGTTTGGCCTGGCCGCCCTCTTGACTTTTTGGACCCCTCCAGGAGCGTGGGGGGGGGCCGCCAAGCGAATCCCGGGCACCTCCCCCCACGGGGGTCTTATCCCGGGAGGAGGAGGAGGAGGAGGAGGGGGGGGGAAAGCCCCAGGCGTGGGCGGGCGAGGGGTCCGGCTTGGCTCCGCGCTCCACGCGGGGGAAACGGCCTCCCACCGCGGGGAGGGGCAGGAGCGTCTCCTCCCGCCCCGCCTCCCAGCTGGGAAAGGAAACCCCCACCTCGACCGCCCCCCACCCCGGTTTCTTCTGCGCAGGCGCCGCCGAGCACGCGCTTAGCTTTCCACGCGGCGGGAAAGGCGGCTGCTCGGAGGAGGAGGAGGAGGAGGAAGAGGGGCCGAAAGTGCGGCGGGGGGATCGTCGGGTGGGGGCCTTTCCGGGCTCCTCTTCGCTGCCCTCCCCAGGCCCAAGAGCGGCGCCCCGTCTCTGCTCCGGGGGAAGTTTCCTTTCCGCGCGTGGGAAAGCTGCGCCCCCGGTCCAGGCTCCGGGGAAGGGGCGCCCCTCCTCCCCGCCCTTTGCCCCACCCACCGGAGTCCCTTCGAGGGGGCGGCCGTGGTGCCTTCTGAAGGGCCGAAGCAGCTTCGAGGGACGGTGAGCTCCGCTTTCTCCTCCCCCCCTTAAGAAACGACGCCCCGATTCCCACTGAAGGGCCCCCCAGGCGGGAAGGTGGGGGGGGACCCTCAAAGTGGGGGGAGAGAAATCGGGGTTTTCTCTTGTTCTTGCCAAGTTTGTTTGGGGGGGAGGCCTCGGTCTTGGGGGACTGGCACGGAAGGAGAGCAACGGAGGGGGGGGGTCTATGGGGCTGAAGGCTTCCTCATCCTCCAAGGAGGGCCGAGACCCCTGGCGACCCCTGGCTGAGGCTGAGGGAACAGAACAGGGGATGGGGGTCCAAAGAAGCCATTGCCAGACCCCGAGGAGGCTCCCCTTGTTCTCTTCTTTGGACGCTGGGCAACCTCCTCCTCCCCCGCCCCCCCGTTTGGGAGAAGCCCCCCTGCTGGGCCAGTTCTGGTTGCTTCCTTGCCTCACCTCCCCCAGGACAGGAAAGTGTGTGTTTTTTGGTGGGGTCTTGAATTGGAGGAGGGGCTCGGAGCACATTCCCTGCACGAGGGGAGGGGCTGAGAAATCCTACCAGCTCCCGGCTGCCCCCCCAGAAGGAGCCAACAGACCAGCTTCTCCTCCTTCCAGGCCCAGCGAGAGGGAAATGGAGCCGAAGAGCCCCACGGAGGCCTCAGGGCAGGAGAAGGCCTTGGGGCAACTGAGTCAGGAGGCCACCTGCCCACTCTGCCTGGACTTCTTCCAGCAGCCGATGGTCCTGGCCTGCGGACACAACTTCTGCCGCGACTGCCTGGCCCGGCTGGGCGCTGAGGCTTCCTGCCCTCAGTGCAGAGCCAGGGTGGAGCCCGGCAGCGCCTGCCCCAACCGGGCCCTGGCCAACATCGTGGGCCTGGTGAAGGGGCTTCGGCTGTCGGGGGGAGCCCAGGAGGGGAGCAGCGGCCCCCAGCTGTGCCGGGAACACCAGCAGCCCCTGCAGACCTTCTGCTCCAGCGAGAAGCGCCTCCTCTGCACCGGCTGCCTGGGGGGGCACCAGGGCCACCCCCTCCTCTCCCTGCCCGAGGCTGCCCGGGAATACAAGGTAGGGGGCGGGCACTGTGGAGGCAGGTGTTCCCAAAAGGGGTCAGATGAGCAGCCCCAGCTATATGGGGCACTCCATCAGCTCAGGGGGGGGGTCCGGCAGAGGGTTCCCAGAAAGATGGAAAGATGATCGTGGGAGCAGTTAAAGGCCCCTAAAGACTACCGCTTGAAAATGGCTGAGAAGACTGGAGACAGGCAGACTCTCAGCTGCTTCCCTCCTCGTGGGCCTCTGCCTGCCCTGGGCCTCTCCCTGGCCGGATTCTTTGCTGGAGGCTCTGGGTGCCCTGGAGTGTAGCACGGGCGTCCCTCTGGCCCCTTGCCCGCCTCCCTGGGTGGGACCACTGCCATCGTGGATTCGGCAATTGCACCGTCTCCTCCCCACACAGGACCTGCTGGATGCCCTCCTGGAGCCCCTAAGGAAGGAGGAGAAGCAGCTGCTGGAGCAGAGGCGGGCGGAAGAGCAGAGCCGGCAGGAGTGCCAGGTGGGTCTCTTGAGGGGACAGGGGGCACAAGAGGCAGCTCCAGGGATGCCGGTTCTGCAACTGGGAACTCTTCCCCCCTCCCTCTGAGTTCCCCGTCTTCTGCCCCCCCAGGAGCAATTAGCCACCGAGAAGCAGAAGGTCGGCCTGGCGCTGGAATCCCTGCTGGAGCTGCTCCGGGAGAGGCAGTCGATCTGGGTCACCTGGCTGGCCGAGCAGGAGGAGAAGATGGAGGCTGAGTGGGTGGGCCCTCTGGCCCAGCTCAACGGAGAGGCCTCCCGCCTGCAGCAGCTGATTGCCCAGATGGAGAGGAAGTGCCGCCAGCCAGACACGGAATTCCTGCAGGTGGGCGGGGCTCTCGCTGGCCTCAACGGGGGGGGGAAGAAACAGAGGTTCCCCGGGGGGGGACACTGGCCACCCTTGCGAGGGCCGGGACCTATTTCTCTGCTCTCCTCTTTCAGGACATCCAGGACACCGTGTACAGGTAAGGCACCATCTTGCCCTGTCCTTGTGGGTCAGTTTGTCCTCAGAATTCTTTGTGCGGCCGGATCACCGAGGATCCCTTTTGTCACCGAGAGAAGCTAGTCGTGGGGTCCTGGGTGCTCTCTGGGCTCGACCGATTCCTTGCAGACGTTTCATTACCCGACTGGGTAACGCCGTCAGTGCCGGGAGGGAGTGGAGTTTGCTCTCTCTTTACGTGCAGATGGGCTGCCCTTAGTTTGGGTGCTGTTTACGGCTTGATTGCAGATCCAGCGTTAAGCCGTAAATGATACAGATTAGGAACCACCAACACAGACAAACAATCCAACAGTAAACAACAGCCTGATCACGGAACCACCGAGAAGGTGGCAACCGTCCTAGCAACACTCGACAGGGGAAGCCGGTAGCACTGGTGGTCCTTGACTTACAGCCACAGTGGAGCCCAAAATTCTGCAATTGAGACACTTGAATCATCTCAGTTGATAAGTTAGTAACATGGTTGTTAAGCGAATCTGGCTTCCCCACTGACTTTGATTGTCGGAAGGTCGTACGGAGGGGATCACGTGACCTTGGGACACTGCGACCTCTGTAAACATGCGTCGGTTGCCAAGCGTCTGAATTTTGATCATGTGACCACGGGGGATGCTGCAACAGTTGTAGCTGCGAAAAACGTCATAGGTCACATGTGTTGTGGGGAGAACGCCGGGTAGCTGTGTGAGGGCGCCCTCCTTGTGTCGCAGGTGCCGGAGTTACGTGGTGGGGCGTGTGAAGAGTGTCTCCCCCGGGCTGAAAGACATACTCAAGACCATCTTGGAGAAAAACACTCCTGTAAGGCAGGTTGTGGACAATTACAAAGGTGCGGGGCTCCTTTGAGCTGTGGCTGGTGGGGTCTGGGCCCCTCTTCTCCCCTTCCTACTGGGGAATCTTGGGGGAGCCAGTCCCCATCCTGCTCGGGCTGGTAGGTGAAGGGGGGTACTGCCTCCTTTATCTGTCACCCCTCCCAACCCTTGTTCCTTAGGGGAGAGGGTGTCACTGTGCACCTGGCAGGGACCAAGACATTTGCCTCTGTGCGGCCGTCGCTCACGGGCATCTATTTCTCACATCACTCATTTTTTTCTTTCCTCCTCCGAATCTCAGCCTCCCTGGAGACGACTCTGACCAGGAAGAAGCTGGAGCGACCTCTGGCCACGGGTAACTTCATGGGGCTGGGGAGGAAGGGGGCAGTGGGGGGGAGGCTTGCAAACCGCCTGTCCTTGCCAGGCCCCACATGAGCGGTTTCTCCAAATTGCTAGGAGTGGCGCCTGCCAGGGGTGGATTTCTCTGCAAGTTGGAGGGCCCAAGGGATACCCAGAGTCTGGGGGGTCCCAAAGGCAGCATCTGGGGGAGGGGGGGCAGGGGTCTGTCAGCTGCCACACGGAGCCGGCCCTTCCCCATCATGCCTTGGCCCTTCCAGAAAAGAGCCACGCTTGAGGACGCTGGGCAGGGCGCCTGGGTAGACCTTCCAGGGCATGGAAGGTCCCAACCGGAGGGGGGGGGAGGGTGGCTCAGTTTTTAGTTGTACCCTGTAGGAAGTGGGGGAGGGGGCTTCTTCAGAAAGAGCAGCCTAATTTTAACACTTGTCCCCCGTTCTTCCCCAGGAACACCTGTTCCACAACATGTACAAGGTCCAGCAGCACCTAAAGGTAACAACACACTGGAAAAGCCCTGGGGGTGGGAGTGGGGGTGGCTTTCCATAGAGGGAGGGGTCCAGCAGAAGTGGGAGGTCTGCGGGTCCCACAGCAGCCACCCAAATTTGGGCCTGGGGCAACGGCAGGGAGGTCCCTGATGGCAGGCCTGCCCCATCGCTCTGGAAGAGCGCTAAACCCACAACCAGCAATAGTGGTAACTTGGGAGAAGCAGGAATGGAGGGAATCCTCAACTTACGACCACAACTGAGCCCAACATTTCCGTTGCTGAGTGAAGCACTTGTTAAGTTAAGCAGCGGCCACTCGCTCCGTCCTTCCCTGAGCTGGGAAAACCTCGGGGAGTCGGCCTTGCCCTCCCCTCTTCCCAGCCCACCTAAGAGCTTCTCTTCTCCCTCCGCTTCAGTCTACGTCACGCTGGACGTCTCGACCGCCCACCCGCAGCTCTGGTGCCAGGGAACCACTCTGACTTTGTCCAACCAAAACCAGAATCTCCCGGATCTGCCAGCGAGGTTCAACCAGGAATTGTGCGCCCTGGGCTGTGGGGAATTCTACATGTGCTATTGGGAAGTGTCCGTGCAGGAGGCAGGGAACACCCCGGTGGGTGGCAGAGCATGCTGGGCCGTCGGGGTGGCCATAGAGTCTGTACGCAGGAAGGGGAGTTTCCAGCTGAGCCCCCAGGAGGGAATCTGGGCCGTGGGGAAGAGTGTGGAGGGGGAGACGGTCGCTTTCTCCAAGGTTCACGAGAAGCTCAACTTGCAGAAGCCGCTGAGGAGGCTGCGGGTGCGGCTGGACTACAAGGCAGAAGAGGTGGAGTTCCTAGATGCAGAGATTGGGGTTTCCCTCTACACCTTCCGGACGGGGGCCTTCCTTGGGGAGAGGGCCTACCCTTTTTTCTACCTGGGCCAGCAGGGGGTCACCCTTCAGTGTGAGGGATGTCCAAGTTCAACTGCGTGGCGGGGCTACTGATTATAATAGAATAGAAAATAGAATAGAATTAGAACAGGAAGGGACCTCAGAGGTCTTCTAGTCCTCCCCCCCCCCCCCCGGTTCAAGCAGGAAAACCTATATACCATCTCAACTTAACAGTTCATTCAGTAATCAAAGTTACCACAACACTGAAAGAAGCGACTCGTGGCCATTTTGCACACTTGGGACCACGGTCAAGGCGATTGAAGTTCAGACCCTTGGCAATTGACTCACCTTTTTGATGTTTGCGTCGTCCTGAAATCCTGTGGTCCCCTTTTGCGACACCCTCTGACAAGCAAGGTCACTGGGGAAAGCTCAACAACTGTGTGACCAATTTAAGAACTGCAGCAATTCGCTTAAAAAATGTAGCGAGAAAAGTCGTCAGACGGGGCAAAACAAATTTCTCACTTAGGAACATCAATTTTAGTCTCCATTGCAGTTGTAAGTTGGGGACTACCAGTAGGTAGTCTGGAGGGCAGGACTCCAGGGCGCGGGTCCACATTAGCCACCTCCCCGATTCCTGCTCATGGGTCCTTTTTCCCGTGTGTGTTTGTGTCTGTGTGTGTGTGTGTGTGGACTTCAATTGAAGCACAAGAGGTGGGGCTGCAGTGGAGCCCGCTGTGCTCAGCCCAATCTCTTGATGCCTTCAAGAGGACCAGATGTTGCCCACTGTCCTCCGGGGTGTCCTTCCAACTCCCCTGTCTAGTCTGCCACGGTTTCTTGGTGGTCTCCCCTCTCTGTCCATGTCCAACCTTCTATATAACATCACCATGATCAGCCTAGGTTGCTTGGGGGGCTGCCAAGCGGTTCTGGGCTGCCGATGGCCTGGGGGGCTTTGACTGGCCATGGCTTCTGGGCCGGAAAAGGCCCGCTGGCGGTGGGATGGGGGCAGTCCAGCTGGGGAATTTCGGGTGTCCACGCGTCTTCCGGGTGTCACGGATGAGAATCCCTGCCTCCGTGTGACTCGCGGTGTAGATGAGAGAGAGATTCTTAAAGGACCTTTGTAATCAATAAAAGCGACATCTTAATATCTGCATGTTACTCTACGTTTATGTGACTCTAAATTTTACTCCAATGTTACTCCAAGTTTCCTATTAAAAAAGCAACATGTTTATCTTTTATTTGTGCCATTTCTCTACCCCTTGGTCCTCAGGGAGGCCGGGGTACTTACGTACAACTTCAATACGCTTTTAAGGCGACCTTTGAAAGCAGCAAATAATTTTAAAAGGTGGGCTCGACCCTCCCCCCAAAGGCCCTCTGGGAAAGTCGTATTTTTGGCAGCCCTTGAAGTGGGGCCAATGGGGGGGAGTCCAGGGTGGGGTGAGCCCCACAGAGACCTTCAGCCGCCCCTAAGGGGAGGGGGACCCCTTAGTGGCTGTTCTCTGGTCACCTGGGGTGGACAGGCAGACGGTTTGGGAAAGGGCATCCCTGAAGACACCCTGGCCACGGAGGGCTTTAAAAGGAGCCCACAGACCCACAAATTGCACTTGGAAGCACACACACATCCCAGAGAGGGCTTCGGATCCGGGCTTCCGGTTCGGTCTGCCATGGAAGGCAGTCAAGGGGGGGGAGGGGAGGTCACGAGGAGCCTCCCTTGCAGGAGTGGGGTGTAGGGGTGGGAAGGGGGCACGCTTCCTCAGGGCCTCTAACCAGCCCTTCCTCTTTGGCGAAGACCCCCCTCCGCCCACCCTGGAAATGCACCCGGGGCAGCTTCCACCCCTGAGCGTCCGAGGGGGCTGCCGGCAGGGGGGGAGCGGGGTCAGTGGATGGAGAGTCGCTGCGCCCCAAGACTGGTGGAGTCCCTGCTCAAGTTTTTAAAAGGTTTTGGGGAGCCATGTAAGCCCCTCCTGCTGTTTCAGGACCGTGCCAGTTCCACCCACTGGGGGAGGCTCCGGAGCAGCCCCCCGTTCGGGGTGGACTTCTTCTGCAAGGGGAGGCTCTGCACCAAGTGGGGGGGTATAGAGGCTCCAGGTGGAGTAAGAACTCTGGGGGTGTCGGGTGGGGCCACGTAGGTCACCCCCTTGGCAGAAAGGTCACGTCTAAGCCGGGGGCCTTCATGTGGGCGGGGCCGAGGCTGCCTGCTCTGGGCAGAGGGTTGGACTGGATGGCCTCCAGGGCCCCTAGGAGTCTTTGGGTCTCCAGGGCAGCGTTTGGACACTCCCGGCGGCCGGAGGTTTGGGCCGGGATTCTTCCGCTCTCCTCACTGACGCCCTGAGCCGACGGCATCCCCCATAAACCAGCCCAGCTCTGGAAGAGCCTCCAAGGGATGGCCCCAAGCGGAAGGCCTGGCAGCAGCACAGCCCCGGGCTCTTCTCCAGGTTTCCCTGCGGCTGCCCTGGCTGGGAAGCGCCTGGGGGGGGAGAGCCAAAGGAAGCGAGAGGGTGTCCGGAGTCCTTAGCCATCTCCTGGGCCTTTTCGGCTGGACAAGAGAGGCAGGCTGGCTGGCCGGGAGTCCTGCGGCCGCTCAGGGCCCTTTGTGGGATCCGAGTGGCCCCTCCCCCACAGAGGCCACAGCCAGGGTCCGGGGAGGGGTGGTGGTGGGGGGTCCTGGGACAGCCTCCTCCAGGCGGGACCTGCCCCGTGTTGGCATCTGGAAGGACCCCACTGCCTGCCCAAGGGTGGTCTTCCTCCCCCCCCAAGGGTGAAACTGGCGCGGTCCTGAAACGCCAGGAGGGGCTCGCGTGCCCCCCCCCCAAAAACCTTAAAGCAACTTGAGCAACATCTTCCCTTCGGACGCTGGGGGGGGGCAGCTTCCCCGGGGGCCTTTCCAGGGGGGGCGGAGGGACGAGCAGGAAGCGCTTCCCGAGGCGACCGCTCTAGGACTCTGCTCTCTTCCCTTCTCCCCCCCCGTGTCGAGAGAGGGGCGGAGGGCGCTGTCCAGGTGCTGAACCCTCCCTGCTCCCCCCGCCTCTTCGGGCGCTGCGGGGCCAGGAGCCGCTGAAGCCCCTGAGGGTCCCCGACCCGGCCGTGCTTCTACGCCCTGCCCAAGGCTAGGGGATCCCGGTCGATCCCTTCCCTGGATCCCTCTTCTCCCAGCACGTGGGGAAGGGGGGGGACACCCCCGGCTGGCGGAAGGTCCCAGAAGGGGGCTCTGCGGGGTCTTCGCCAAAGCCTCCCCTGAGCGACCCCCGGGAGGGCCGGTTGGAGGCCCCCGGGAAGCGCGCCCCCTTCCCCACCCACCCCCACCCCCCACCCCAGTCCTGCGAGGGAGGCTCCTCCTCCGCGCCCACGCGGGAGAAGCGCCCGCGAAGCGGCATTCGCTCCCCCAGGAGTTTGGGCTGGCCGCCCTCTTGACTTTTTTGACCCTTCCGGGAGCGTGGGGGCCAGAGGCGAATCCTGCGCACCTCACCCGGGAGGCGGAGGAGAGGGAAACCCCGGGGCGCCCGTGCTCCACGACTGGGGGAGCGAGCGCTTCTGCATCCCGCGTGGCCGCCCCCCCAACTCTCCGCCCGTGGAAAGGCCCGCGAGTGCCCCCTGCAGGAGAGGAGCCGGGGGGAGGGGCGGCTCAGCGGGGGAATCTTCGCGAGGGGTCGCCTGCCGCCTCGCCTCTTAGCTGGGAAACAAAACCGAAACTTCGGCCGTCTCCCTGGTTGCTTCTGCGCAGGTGCCGCCGACCCTGCACTTAGCCTCCCAGGCGGCGGGAGGGAGGGGCTGCTCTGCGGAGGAGGAGGCGAAAGTCTCGAGGGAGGGGAGCGCCGAAAGTTGGGGCCTTTCCCTGAAAGTTGCTTTTCAGCGCGTGGGAAAGCTGCGTCCCCGGTTCAGGCTCCGGAGAGGGGGCGCCCCTCCTCCCCGCCCTTTGCCCCACCGACCGGAGTCCCTTCGAGGGGGCGGCCCTGGTGCCTTCTGAAGGGCCGAAGCAGCTTCGCAGGTGTTAGAAGTAAGTCTTCATCCTGGTTCATCCAAGCCGGGAATAAATAAGCAAACATGGCAACTGCTTTGGGAAGAAGGTTACAGTTTATTGCAGAAGACAGATGGTCTTGCAAGAAGCAGCAGAGGAGAGGAAAGAGAGTGGGGAAGAGAGAGAGCACATGGGCAGAAGGTCTTTTTATACCCTCTAGCCCTGCCTGG